TATTTCCAGTTATATTTGGTCACAGAACGTCTATGCTCTGTTGATTTTATCATCATCTTACCTTTCTTTGAAACAAGTTATCCGTTTGTAATGTCTTTTTTTGGGTGTGGGGTGGAGGGAATTATCTCAATGCACCAATAATGTCCTAAATCTTCCAATCACGTCTTACCATGAATTTGATGTTCATTTTTGTTTCAATTTTGACGGGATTCTTGCTGCTCCAAAGAGGTCTGTTTTAAAACTGGGATAAACTCCAATTTACAACCTCAGGTTATAAGATGTAAATCCAAGTTTACTTTACTGCAGATATTAAAATATTTGCTTAGTTTTCTTGTGGTATTCTTTTTACTAGCAAACTTTTTGAATGCTTTCGTATATGAGAATGGAAAACAATATTCAAGCAAAGATGATCTCTGGGAAGCAGTAAAAACTGCTGCAAGTAATGTTAAAGGCGAAACAGTAGAAAAGTTAAAATGGTATAGAATGTCAAGGAGCCTATATTAATATGTTAAATAATTATAATAACAATAATTTATTCAGGCATATGAGATCTTGTATTAATGAAATATAGGTTTCAGTACACACCACGTGAAGATTTTAAATGGCTGTAACAGCTACCATGGATATCACATGTAATTCGAAGAGAAAATAATATCATAATGAAGATGTTGATGTACCAAACCATTTCAAAATAAAGATTAGGAAGAACCCCTCCTCGTCAATACTGGAAAGAGTAATAACAGCTACTGGACTTGAGAAAACTATTTTCCTGAAATATTGTTTTGAGAGAAAGATTTTATAAATTTCAACCAAGTGTTCGGTCAATTTGGTTTCGTTTGGTTTGGTTTGTTTTACAGCACATCAACCTCAAAGGGTTATTTAATGTCGACAAAATTTTCATTACTGGTAATAGGTTTTTCTTCAAAAATCTATTTCTGGGAATATTTTCCTTAAAGAAATCTATAGCTGGTCATATTTTTTTCAAAGAATGTATAGCTGTTTCTATTGCTGGTATTTTTTAAAGAGTATTGTTGATAATAATTTTTCCTTCAAAAATTATTGCTGGTAATAATTTTTTTATTACAAAGTATTTCTGGTATTAAAACCTATTTTTACACAAGTTTGGGTGTTAACTATTTTCCCATAGCTGGAACCCTAACAGGTGATACCACCCCGGGTCAGGATGGACCTGGGAACACCAGCAATCAAGAGGTGGTTCCATGCTCCTCAAAACCTCCTGATCAGAGGTCTTGCTGCTGGATGTAGTTTATCGTCAGACCAAGGACAGAAGTGTTTAGTCAAGGAATACCAAATCTTTCCTTATAGGGAACAGGCTAATATTACCATAACCATCCATTATCGTTTGGAAAGATTTAGAAATAAACATACATTACGCTTAGTCTGTTTGCATAATTTAAACATTTTTTCAGGACGTTGGTGATCATAGCTCTCCACAATTTCTTATTCTTTGTAGCTCTTAGTAAATTGTGTGTTTTTGCTCTCTCTCTCTTTCCCAAATCTTGTTCTGTCATCCTTTTACACAAGCTCGTTAGGTAAGTTGTTTTCTTGTCCCTTTTGCCTTCAATATGTCCCCGTGAGTGTCGAATTTTCCAAACTGTCTTTTCTCATTATGTGCCTAAGAAATTTCAACAGTCTCCTTTTGATGTCAAGAATAATTTCTTTTTTGCTTCCATTTCCTTTAAAACTTTGTCATTGCTCACATGTTCGGTCCACGGTATTCTCAGCATCCTTCTGTAGAACCACATTTCTGTTGCCTCAAGTCTCATTTTTTCTCCGCTGCATATTTGATATTGTGTTTGCCAAGTTATTATCAATAAATAATAGGTAAGAATGTTATAGGCCGAAACTGACACGATATCTTGCTCATAAATGTCCTACTTAGGTCGTTTGATTATAAGCAATTTTATAGTGAAAATATTAATTTTATAGTGAAAATATTAATTTTATAGTGAAAATATTAATTTCCTAATAAAAACTATTAATGATTACCTCATAATTATGCAATCGTTTATCTGGTTTCTTGTTTAAGAAGGTTGATCTTTACCCGGTGTCTGGATGTTATGACCTTGTTTTAAACCAAGTCAGTAATTCTCAACGCGTCGGTAATACACTTTTGGGTGCGATGTGAATTCTCAAAGTGCCCAGAGAGTAATTATAGAAGGCAAACCCAAATTAGACATTTAACTCTTTAGGTAATATCAGGTGCTTGGGCAATTTGTTGTTTAAGGCAATTTGTAAAATCGGAAATTTGGAAGAATCACCTTGCTCTTTGGATCATTTTGCGCGGTTCCACTAGAAATGAGATCACCAACCACTTCAACCTATTGGCATATTCTACAGTGAACGCTTCTGTTGTATACATACATTACACCTTTTCAGTTACCCTCACATAAGGACCACGATTTATTGATTCGGTTATAAGGTTAAAGTCACTTCGCTCTGCCCACAATTAATACAAGCATGGAAGCACTAATTTGGCGAGCCGTGATTTTACCTAATGCAATGACGTCATTTCCGTACAGAGCCTAGCGAAGGAACGTCGAAGCTTACTGCTCTTCATATCACTTATCTAATAAGTTATTTATGTTAAAACCATAAACAACGTTTAAATTTATCGATTTAAGGCGATTTCTTTGTAGGAAATTTATTTCTATAAATTTGAAATTGAAAGAGTGTAGATTCCGGTCTATTGAGACAGACTACATCCATATTCTCCTCAAGAACAATTATGGCAATGCACAACTAAGAAATAATATAAAATAGTTTGAAGAAAGTCAGTTCTCTTGGCTTCTACTCATTTCTGTCATCAAATAAAAGGAACATTGCAAGACAACGAAGGAGAGACATGCATCAAAGCAACTGCCCGCAACACAAAATAAAACAGGCCATGGACATACAGGCCATGGAAATATTAGGACACTATATCAATGCGGAAAGCTGGAAATTTTAAAGCAGAAGTCAGGAATTCAAAGTTAAAAGATGCATTTGTGAAGCCATCTCAAGGGAAGAGAAAAATGGACAACAAGTAAAATTCTTGACGTAATGAGAGACGGCAGATAACCCCAATAAATGGTGAAGAATATATATTAAAATTTCGAAATAACTGAAAGCAAAAGATGAATGATTCAACGAGAAGTGCGAGGGAGGGAGGGAGAGAGAGAAGAGAGAGAGAGAGAGAGAGAGAGAGAGAGAGAGAGAGAGAGAGGGAGAGAGAGAGAGAAAGCAAAATTATGCATAAAAAGATAAAAGAAATAGCAGGAGAGTAAATGTGATCTTTTACAGGATGTATAAAATCTAAAAGGAAGATAATCATAATTGGAAAATAAAAATTACAACAAATATGGAACAAATCTCTTTCATAACTACAGAAGTTAAAAAAACGTGGGAGGACCAGTCTGAGATAAGATTGACTGATCAAGGTGAACAGGAACAAAACAGTAGAATTATATGAGATTGTAATAGAAATGCTGTCAGCCATGGATGGTCTCGGGATCAAAGAATTAACAAAATAATAAATGAAATGAATAGCATCAGCGAAATACTGGAAGACCTCAATTGTTCTATCTATATAGCGATGCCAAAGAATCCAAGTGTAAATGAATGAGAGATCTGTGGAGAGCCATGATCGCTTACATTCTGAAGAGACATTGAAACGCAGCGAGGCAAACCTGAGAAGACTACAGCCTGTTATTTGGTTTTGCTTAATAACTTCAGATGACAGCTTTTTTGAATACATCAAATAAATTCAATAACTTCAATAAAACATATTGATACTACCTAAATTTTTAATCCGGGCTTTGTTTTGACTTCTAAATTGATTGTTTAAAATTTGACAATTTTTTTCAAGCTAAATTTGAATTATTAAAGTTTATATGATTTGCTTAAATACTTCAGACTAGGTGTAGAAGTCCGATAAGATTTATTATTACAGGACATAGCCTTAGCAACATACGGTGGTCAGATGACACCGTATTGATGTCAGGCGCATTGGAATAGGAATCTTTTCAGAAACTAAGCAGTGCATTAAGACATGGGAAAATGTTGCCAGAAATAAAGGAAATAGTGCTGAACTGTTATAAAGTATCTACTCTCCGATATGGCAGTGAATGTTGAACAATCTTCACCGATTTGAAACAGCAAAGATGTGGTTCTACCAACGAATGCTGAGACTATGATGGAAAGATCACATGGCAAATGAGGAAATTCTAAGGAGAAAGGGAACTAAAGATAAACTGCTGCTAACAATCAGAAAGAGAAAGCTGCAATTTTGGGGACACAATGAGGAAAGAAAGCTTGAGGAATTTAACACCCACAGGGTATATTAAAGGCAAGCAGGGTGTGGTGGGAATTAGAGTTAGAACAGATAGCAAAACAAGGACAACAACAGCAAAAAGGGTTGGTAAAGTTTTTAAAAAAATTATTTAAAGAAACAAAATACAAGTCATTTTGGAAAGCCATGATCGCCTACGATCTAGAAGAATATGGCATATGAAAACTTTGTGAATATTTTATTCATCAGACAAGTCAGTAATTTAACTTTATCATACACTACTGATATTCTTGTCTAAGAAATTCGATCTTTTAATTTTAAATTTAATTTGTAGTTATAATTATCCATTTGATAGTCGATACCTTTCGTGTAATGCTCTTCAGATAAACTGAATTTTAGGAGGATATTGCGATAATTATTGTCTTTGACAAAACGACAATTACAGTCCATTCTTAATTGTATCGCCACTCGACGAGGAAGGACACGCAATTTTGATTTCAAAATGAGGATCTCAAGCTTTTAATCGAAAATCAATTCATTTGGTTACGGGTCACTTTATACAGTCTTTGAATGCATAGTCGACAGGAACAAAGAGTTTCTTTCCCGGTTTAGAGGCAGCTGTGTCCAGTGGGCATTGCTAATGAGCCGTCGGTTAAATTAAATGACTCTTGATAACGAAGTTGGTGAAAAAATTAATAGCACCACTCACCTTCTCGGTTGCTTCAAGAACTCGGAGCAGGTTTTCACCAGCAAGTTTCGCCAAATCTTTTTCACTCCACTTCCTGCTCACAAGTTCCGCAAACAGATAGGGATATTTGGAAACATCTTCCAAGCCATCGGGCAAACTGTTAAAGTAAAAGAATAGTCATAATTCAAATAGAAATTTATATTCTTAAAACTAATCTGACTGAATCCATATATTCGAAATCTTAGTGCAATTTGCTTTCATCTGCAGCTATATATCTATGTTTATTGTTTTCGAAAAAAATGATGGGATATTATGATTTCCTTACGATTATTTGAAGGTTTTCGGGGAATCTTTAAAAATGCAATATTCATATAAAGAATTTAGTGTGGGGATCAGTTTTTTTTTTTTTACTTTATAACAAAAGAAAAGTATTCCGCCATTTTATACCCAGTAGAATATGATAATTCTCCCTAGTTCCTTAATTAGCTACTTAGCACGTACGTTACGCACTGTTTGTACCTCATAAATAGACTATTCCGTTTTGATCACGAGGAAAGACGGAGACGACCTATGAGAGGCGCTGTTTGGTTTCAGTGTAAAAATAAAAGAAAGGGAAAGATAGAGAAATAGATAGATAATGGAAGAGATAACACTCATATGTTTAACGCTTACTTCAGTGAAATGGAAAACATTGTAAATCTTTAATCGTGTAATTTGTACCCTCTTACTTCTTTAAATAATGACCTGCAGTCATAATTATGGTTGTTATTGTAATATTTTGTTAAAGTTTTTTAGCTCAAATATTTAAAGGTGGGATATTAATTTCCACGGGTATTTTATAGGTCCCCAACTCGCAAGTAGCTTATTCAATTATTAACTTATAAATTAAGATTCATCAGAAAATTAAAAGGAAAACGGGGAAATGTTCATGGCCATTTCCAATTAATCTTAATTTACCAATGCAGACACAAAATGTCTTTGTTAAGTTCTTATCGTTGTGAGTTTTTTACATTTGAAGATTTAGATTTTGCCGATGATTATATCATTTTTAACATCATGTTTCTTCAGGACATTGGGGATCATGTTAAGCCACAAACTTTTCTTTATTACTCTCAAGGGCATTTTCAAGGGGTGGGGGGCTTTAGTCCCAATAGATATTCAAAGTAAGAAGCCTCAATGACAGTACCACCGTTCTTTATGACAGAAAAGAATCCAGAGTTTGTCAGGTGAGAACGAAACGTTAAGAGCTTGGTTTTGAAGACATTGAATGTCACAAGCCAGCCTTCACCTCCCCCATATTGAGCTATTAGAGCTTGGTCAGAGAAGGGATCAGTAGTTAGGATCTGGTCATATAGATTTTGGGATGCGCGCCTATGGTATGCGAGATCAGCTCATTAGTAACTGATATAGTTTTACAAGTTGAAAAAACTTGTAAAGAAATTTTGTTTCACAGAAATACGATCTTCTGAGTCTTCTTTATTGCCGTATCCCCCCACGTAGGACGTCGTTTTTCATTTTTTGCTTTTTTAAGCACATTTTATGACCCCACCCCACCAGTGCTTATTACGACCAATCCTTTATTAATTTCACTTTTTTTGACATTTTAATAATTTTTCTACCCCTCTTTTTTAAGAGCACGCCCGATTGTTGACATATTGATAAAAATTCCGATCTTCTATTAAAATTTTGCTTGTATTAGGCACTTACGAGTACCGTATTTTCTTGTGTATAATTAATAGGACCCTGAAGCTAAGAACGGAATAAATAACAGCCTTGTATTTAACGATCTCATGTTTCTGAATCTAAGAATAAGGAATAAATTATATACGATCTCGTGTTTCTGAATCTAAAAATAAGGAATAAATTATATCCTTGAATTTGAACATAATACGACCTCATAGTAGAGCCGTCCTTATGTAAAGACATTAAGTTACACTGATTGACAAAGAACAAATATTGTCGACATCTCAAATACCTTTTACAAACAATTGTTATCAACACCTGCCTACTTTCTGTTCTATTATCTATGGTACTGAGTGTATTGTCAATCTTGCTGTTTCAATTAAGAGGTTCTTTAAGCTGAGTAAAAATTTATAGGAACGTGTTCATGCGTATAATACTACTCCACCCCTTTTTTGTCTTTCATTTTCGTTCAACATTTCTCGTATTATACACGGGAAAATACGGTATCGGTGAATTGCCACGACTTGGGGAAGACAGTGAAGGTACTTTTAGGAACGGTACAAAGAACTGCTAATTTTCCAGATTCTTTAGCAATGGATCATATAGCGATTTTCCAAGCGTAGCTTAGAATGTGGCAAGAGGCCGAAAGTATGGGGCACCCAGTGAGAATCGAACTCACTACTCAGTCGTAATTGTTCTAGCGAGACACGCTTGCTAACCATTACACCGCATCGAGGTGCCAAAGCAATGGATCATATATATGAGTTACACTTGAGGTCCTGTGGGGGGGGACTTTAGTCCCAATAGATATTCAAAGTAAGAAGCCTCAATGACAGTACCACCGTTCTTCATGACAGAAAAGAATCCAGAGTTTGTCAGGTGAGAACGAAACGTTAAGAGCTTGGTTTTGAAGACATTGAATGTCACAAGCCAGCCTTCACCTCCCCCAAATTGAGCTATTAGAGCTTGGTCAGAGAAGGGATCAGTAGTTAGGATCTGGTCATATAGATTTTGGGATGCGCGCCTAGGGTTTGCGAGATCAGCTCATTAGTAACTGATATAGTTTTACGACAAGTTGAAATTTTCACAGAAATACGATCTTCTGAGTCTTCTTTATTGCCGTGATGGATGTAGGCGATCATGGCTCTCCAGAATTTCCTGTCCTTTGTAGCTCTTAATAAATTTTGTATTTTCGTTATTTCTTCTAAACCATGTCCCGCCATTCATATACTTTTTTTTTCGGTATCACTCCATGTAAGGCAGAAAAGCCACTAAGACAAAAAAAGTTTCAGAGTGTGGAAGAATTAGAAATAGAAACAATGAGTGGGAAGATTAAATAGTAATCAGGAAGATATTAGTTAACTTAAACTCATCAAGTATGTACTATTTTCCCCTTGTCCCTTAATGTGACCTGTGGGTATCAGATTTTGAAACTGACAGGTCCTTTAAAGAAATAAACGATTTTATAAAAAAAAAAAAAAAACTTCCAGTACATTAATAGAAATTACATGTAAACCACCGATTTTGCCAGACTAATAGAAGTCATGTACTAACAATTTAATAGTACATCTTTTACCTACTAATTATGCATCTATCGACTGTTAAAATCTTATATTAAACTATTATAAGAAGTAAATTATATTTGAATTGACTAAATTTATATTGTGTGGCTATGATTTTTCTTGGGATTGAGAGCAGAGTCATTTCCCGTTGCCACGAAATAACAACAACAGTTATTCCGTCCCTTTGATCGGTCTTATTTTCCCGTCCAGCTGGGCTGCTAACCAGCATCCTCGTACCCAACGAAATTCTGTAGAGGAGCCGGTTTTAAAATCGTTTATTTTGTTAAAGGATCTGTCAGTTTCAAAACCTGATACCCAGAGGACAGATTGAGAGACAAGGGAAAACAGCACATATCTGATGAACTTATCTAATATCCTCCTGATTACTCTTTCCTCTTCCTGCCTATTATTGTTTCTGTCCCTATTTCTTCCACACCCTGTAACCCCTTTTGTCTTAGTGGCTTTACTGCCTTACATGAATTGATACCGATTAAAAAAATGAAAAAAAGTATATACATGGCGGGACAGGGTTTAGGAGAAATATCAACAAAAAAAAAAAATCAAAACTTAAAACTGTTTAAAAATTGTTATTTTTACATCTAATAAAATCGAATAAAATACAGTAACATAAATGAAACTATTATTTACATTTCCGCCTTTTGTTACATCGATATAGACTGGTGGTTACGCTTGTTACCACCAAGAACGCTTTTAATTTACTTGGAAGCCATAGCTAGGGTTATGCATAAGCTAATCAGGCGAAGATTTATGCCAAATCGATGCAGCTGCACCAACCCCATTAAGATAAACAAATGATCGCTCGCCACACACTACGTCACCTGTAGCCGCTGAGTTAATTAGTCTGGCAAACACGTGTAATTCAAATATCTACAGTTAAATGTGATTAGGGTATCGGTTACCAGAAAATCGGTGATGTACATGTAGTATAATATTCAATACATTTATATATTTATTTTTTGACTATAATTATTTTATTTTCATTTGACGTCGCAGCTTCGTTTAGTTACATTTCACACACACACACATATATATATATATATATATATAAATAAAAGAAAGAACAGTAAGATATATAATCCGGTGTTCTTATAGATATTTTTATTTTTACAAAATAGTGCTCAATGTAAATTTACAGAGCATTAATATTAGAAATTAATTGATTTTTCGCTTGAGGATGAAATGGAACTAAATGTCTTTAATTTAATTGCAAAATTAAATTCGTGGCGTTTAGCTTCCATTTTTGAAACATGGTTAGAACTGTGTAGCGAAAAAAAATATTTTAAATCAATTAGTTTTAATATATATATATATATATATATATATATATATATATATATATATATATATATATATATAGCTAGCTGAATGATCCTCTGTGGCCGAATCGGCTAAAAAGGCACGTCAGGCTATATGACGGCTCCGTATAGTTTACAGATTCGAATCCTGTCGGAGGACGAATATTTTCTATGAAGATTTCTCGCATATTCAGCCCAGTAAATGTTGGTTATTATAAACAGAGCATTTACTTAAATATTTGTATGTATAAACATAAAATGTCTTATATATATATATATATATATATATATATATATATATATATATATATATATATCTCTTTATCTTTCTTTTTTTTTTAATCGGTATCCCAAACAAGTCAGTAATGCCGCTAAAACACAATGGGGTTACAGGGTGTGGGAGAATTAGGGACAGAAACATTAATGATGAGAAGAGAAGAGAGTAATCAGGAGGACAGTAGATAGTGATTGACATTGCATTTAAATTTTTACAGATTAAAGTTGGCTGTAAGGCATGGAGTCGGAAGGGTGTTCCGTGAGCGAGAAGTGCGAGAGGCAAAACTGTTAGAGTAGAACTTAGAATTACAGCCAGCTTAACTGTAAATTGATGAGATCTCTACGCCAATCTGGTGCTGCGCTACATTCAAAAGCTCTAGCGAAGAACTCATTCAAACAATTACCATGAAAGTATTTACATAAAAGACAGAGAGGCAACCTTACGACGGTGGGGAAAGTGACCAGAGCCGAGTCGCCAGATAAGGACCAAGAATATTGCTTATCAAGGAGAGCTCCTTGGGTAGCGACTCGGAGAGTAGAGTTCGAATTTCAGTCAAATCCATTACATTCAGTACCCTTGGGAAAGGTATGAACCCTCTTCTTCTCCCTCCAGCTATGGGTAATTAGCAGGGCAAACTGGGTTCTATAGCCTTGGATGGTTATAGAAATAGGAGAAGGACAACTCTGAATTCAAAACCCGTAGAAGGATGTTTGGAGACCTTGTGGCATGTAGGTTCACCAGGTTTCTGTTCAGCCCTTCAGAAAGTGTGGTTGGTTCTGCACAAAATCTTCACTACTATAATCAAATCATGTGTGCTGGTGTCTGGCTGTCGGCTCCTAGGAACTGAGTTGCTGACCTTCAAACGTCGAATACGACGGGACAGTCCAACATATGTGTGTGTGTGTGTGTGTGTGTATGTATATATATATATATATATATATATGTAAACAAGAGTTATTTTAAAGCATAGTGTTCACAGGTAAGCAAAAATTGAAATGTTCAAAAATGTTTAAAACTGTGTTTATACATTAGAACGGAATATGCAATAAACTCTATGCAATGTTTGTTCCTTTACTATCCATCCTGGTCCATTTTGCTCCATCCATTTGCACAAACTCATTAGGTAGGTCACTCAATGTCTGTCTCTGCTCTTTTTGCCCTTAATATGCTATGTGAGTGTTAAATTCTCTAAGCCCGCTTTTCTCGTTACGAGTCTCAGAAATTTAACTGTCTTTCTGATTCTAAGTACAAGTATCATTTTATATATATATATATATATATATATATATTCTTAAACTTCTTCACATGTTACGTCCATGGCATTCTCAATCATCCTTTTGTAAAACCAGATTTCTGTTGCTTCAAGTAGGCATATGAATTTAAAAAAAGAAAAAAAGAAAGATGTCGACATGAAAATTGGCTATCAAACAACGTTAAGTTTAGACCTGACACTATCTTAAATGCCCCCCCCCGAAATGAATAGTTCCAAGCTCTGAATAAATTTTCCTTGAATTTGAAATTTTTCTTCATTTAGAAATATACCAACATTTTGGGACAACTATCAAACACTAAATGTAACGAGGTTTTTGGGACAGTGATAGTCATAGTGGTAATAAAAGAGAAATACAATTTTCACTTCGTTACTAATGTCCTCATCTTTGTCGCTATATTTATTACAACGTTTCGGCCGTTGCACGAACTGAACCCATTATTTCACTGGGGTAGACTCAAGGACACATGGCACAGTGGATAAAGGCGTTAGTTAGATCCAGTGACAGGACCCAAAGAGTGTGAGTTCAATACTCAGTTAAGGCAGTGGAGAACTTTCAGAGAGGAATTAACAGGACATAACTGATATCCATTAAACATGGTACGTGGAACTAGAAAAGTCTACCCCAGTGAGCGAAATAAAGAGTTCAGTTCGACATTCCAACCACCTGAAGAAAGATGAGAACAATAGTCCGAATAATGTAAATAGTGTACATAATACCTCATATCAGAAATATAGACAGATACCATTTCACCTCGCCGAAGAACTTAGCATACTCGTCTTCACAAACAGAAGAGAGTTGTTTACCTCAGGAAATTGTGTCCATGTGCCAATCTAAGCTAAGTCTATCACACCTTCTTAATTTACGGTGATTTTCTAAGCGTAGCACAAGTATGGGGAACACAATGAAAATCGAACTTGCTACTCGTAATTGTTCTAGCGAGACAAGCTTGTTAACCATGACACCACGTCGAGGTGATCTTATAAATTTATAAGCGTAGCTTAGATGCAGCCTAAGGGCAAAATTGTGGAGAACCCAATGAGGATCGAACTCATTACTCAGTCGTAATTGATCTAATGAGACCAGCTTGCTAACCATTAGACCACGTCGATGTCAAACACATTCCTAATTCATGTCAAAGTGTCTAAATGCTGTTTAAGGAAACCTGTAGTTGTTCCGATAAGAAACGAAAATTTAATTAAGAATGTTCAGACTGTTTCATTAAAGATCCACTTTCCACGTCCATAGATTGAACAAGGGGCATTCCTTATTTGATACACGAAAGGAAGAATATATTGTTGGAGGGAGAATCGATTGTTTGAGACGCAAAACTTCCGAGTCATTATCTGTCATGAATATCTCGATATAGAATGCCGGTAGCATTTTCTGGTGGAAAGTAACGATAGTCAAGATATTTGTCTCGAAGAGAGCAACTCCCTATGGCACTAAAAATAAAGGCCACCATATTTCTTGATGTCCCCACCCTTTTTTTAAACTATGTCCTCTGGTAAATCGGATAAAGGAACATTTGCTGTCCAACAAGAAGGTACAGTTGAAATTTCTATGGCACATAATGAGGAAAGAGGGCTTGGAAAATCTGATACTCCCAGGACAGATTGAAGGCAAGAGGGACAGAAGAAAAACGCATAACATACTTAGTGAGCTTGAATAAATAGATGGCGGAACTGGATTTAGGAGAAAAAAAAAAAAAAAGTTTAAGAGATACAAAGGACAGGAAATTGTGGAGAGCCATGATCGCCTACGTCCTGAGGGGGGGGCACGGCACATGAAGATATATTGTTGTTGTGTTGGAGGTTTTGAATAAAGGAGGGACTAATTTATTTGGAAAGCTTAGAATAATCAACTACAAGAATATAAGCTGAAACTGTAATGATCTACGAAGCACATCCATAGCTAAGAACCTGCCTTTACTGACAAGTAGTTTAAAATAGTTACGCGTGAATGTCTTTGTATCAATCAGAAAATTTCTGTTCAACTGTCAATGAAGTTGAATTGCGGACTGATCTCATATGAACTTGCACGCGCATCGATGTTAAACAACTGAAGCAAATACACGGACCTTGCCTGCTGATCGCCCACTTTTTCACCACTGATGGTCCATTGTTCCTATCTGTCGCTTTTGTGCCTCTTGTTGACAGGGCGCCATATTGATATCGCTGGTGACGTGAGATAACGATAGATGCCAAAATAACATTGATAACGGGAGTTGAGAAAGAATTTTTTGTTACTTTCTGCCAAGCCCGACGAGTTGGCTTAAACATGATATACGAGGTTTTATTATAAGATTTACACTAGTTTTTTTTTTTTTTTTCTTAAATTTTTAATCTCAGTACGGTGGGTCGATAAAGGAAGGAGAAAAAAAATTGTTACGTTTAATCATCGATCTCGACCCCGGATCGGAAATAGTTAAGACCGGATATTTCGGTACGAAATGCTAACCAAATTCTTGCGCCGGGAGATTATTTCGTTGTTTAATCTAGTGGCTGAAGAATGCATCGGCTGAGATGGTTAACGTTTAAATAAAAGCAAAAAAAAAAAAAAAAAAAATTATCAGAAATTTGTTATTTTTAGTGGCGACACGTGTTGGAGCTGATATCACTATTTTAAGTGAAATAAATGTCAACTGGCGTAACAAAAAACAAAAAACAAAAACAAAGTACCTCAGTACAGGTATTCCAATTTTGTCCGAAGGAATGGTTTCCCTAATCGAAAAAGGGATTCGATTCCAGAAGACATTATACGTCAGCAATGACTTCTACTTCTAGAGCAGTTGACAATTTCACGGTTTAAAATACGTGTGTGTGTGGGTGGGTGGGGGGTGTTTCTCCTTGAGAGAGAGAGAGAGAGAACTAAGTTTTGTTAAAGGTTCGTCTTAGCGGTAGTGAATTTTGTGTTAATGTAAGTTTGTGTAATGTGAGATTACTAAGACAACTGATCACAGAATGCAAATTCGTTATTTTAATTGCAAATGATTTCCACCATTTTCGAAAGCTAAGTTAATGTGGGTTTTTGTGTATTTGACCTTTGGACTAACGCTTAGACCATAAAAATGTCATTTCTTATTTGTTCTAAAAAAATTTCCTTAACACGATGTAACGCTCGCTAGTAAAAAACATTAAACTAGAAAAAAAATGTATGCATTCATTGTTAAAGCAAGAAATTCTGCTAAATGAGGAATATTTTGAGCGTCTCAAGTCGAAACGAACAAGCTGAGCTTGCAAAAATAAAATTACTTACGAAATGCCAAAATACTCAAACATCGGACAACTTAAATTTTCACAAAGAAAGAAAGAAAGAAAAAGAGAAAGAAAAGAGAAAGAAAGAAAGAAAGAAAGAAAGAGAAAGAAAAGAGAAAGAAAGAAAAAGAAAAAAGAAAAGAGAAAGAAAGAAAAAGAAAGAAAGAAAGAGAAAGAAAGAAAAGAGAAAGAAAAAAAGAAAAAGAAAAAGAAAAGAAAAGAGAAAGAAAGAAAAGAGAAAGAAAGAAAAAAGAGAAAAAGAAAGAAAAGAGAAAGAAAAAAGAGAAAGAAAGAAAAGAAAGAAAGAAAAGAGAAAAGAAAAAAGAAAAAGAAAGAAAAGAAAAGAAAGAAAAAGAAAGAAAAGAAAAGAAAGAAAGAAAGAGAAAAGAAAGAAAAAAGAAAGAAAAGAAAGAAAAAAAGAGAAAGAAAGAAAGAAAGAAAAAAAGAGAAAGAAAGAAAGAAAAAAAGAGAAAGAAAGAAAGAAAGAAAAAAAGAGAAAGAAAGAAAGAAAGAAAAAAAGAGAAAGAAAGAAAGAAAGAAAAAAAGAGAAAGAAAGAAAGAAAGAAAAAAAGAGAAAGAAAGAAAGAAAGAAAGAAAGAAAAAAAGAAAGAAAGAAAAAGAGAAAAAAGAAAAGAAAAAAAAAAAGAAAGAAAGAAAGAAAAGAAAAAAGAGAAAGAAAGAAAGAAAGAAAGAAAAGAAAGAAAGAAAGAAAGAAAAAGAAAGAAAGAAAGAAAGAAAGAAAAAAGAAAGAAAGAAAGAAAAGAAAGAAAAAAGAAAGAAAGAAAGAAAGAAAGAAAGAAAAGAGAAAGAAAGAAAGAAAGAAAAGAAAAGAAAGAAAAGAAAGAAAGAAAGAAAGAAAGAAAGAAAAGAAAGAAAAAGAAAGAAAGAAAGAAAAGAAAGAAAAGAAAGAAAGAGAGAAAGAAAGAAAGAAAAGAGAAAGAGAAAAGAAAGAAAGAAAGAAAAAGAGAAAGAAAGAAAGAAAGAAAGAAAAAGAAAGAAAGAAAGAAAGAAAAAGAGAAAGAAAGAAAGAAAGAAAGAAAAAGAGAAAGAAAGAAAGAAAGAAAGAAAAAGAGAAAGAAAGAAAGAAAGAAAGAAAAAGAGAAAGAAAGAAAGAAAGAAAGAAAAAGAAAGAAAGAAAGAAAGAAAGAAAAGAGAAAGAAAGAAAGAAAGAAAGAAAAAGAGAAAGAAAGAAAGAAAGAAAGAAAGAGAAAGAAAGAAAGAAAAGAGAAAGAAAGAAAGAAAGAAAAAAAAAGAAAGAAAGAAAGAAAGAAGAAAGAAAAAAAGAAAGAAAGAAAGAAAAAAAGAGAAAGAAAGAAAAAGAGAAAGAAAAAAAGAAAGAAAGAAAGAAAGAAAGAAAAAGAGAAAGAAAGAAAGAAAGAAAGAAAAAAAAAGAAAGAAAGAAAGAAAGAAAAAGAGAAAGAAAGAAAGAAAAAGAGAAAGAAAGAAAGAAAGAAAGAAAGAAAAGAGAAAGAAAGAAAGAAAGAAAAAGAGAAAGAAAGAAAGAAAGAAAAAGAAAAAGAAGAAAGAAAAGAGAAAGAAAGAAAGAAAGAAAGAAAAAGAGAAAGAAAGAAAGAAAAAGAAAAAGAGAAAGAAAAAGAAAGAAAGAAAAGAGAAAGAAAGAAAGAAAGAAAGAAAAAGAAAGAAAGAAAGAAAAAAGAAAAAGAAAGAAAGAAAGAAAGAAAGAAAAAGAGAAAGAAAGAAAGAAAGAAAGAAAAGAGAAAGAAAGAAAGAAAGAAAGAAAAAGAGAAAGAAAGAAAGAAAGAAAAAGAGAAAGAAAGAAAGAAAGAAAGAAAAAGAGAAAGAAAAAGAAAGAAAGAAAAAGAGAAAGAAAGAAAGAAAGATTGATTGATTGATTGATTCCCAGAATCTAAAAATAAAGAATCTTCGTTGGTCTTTTTAACCAAATTTGCCGAAGTGAAAAAAATTGCTGAAATACATTACCTACTTTGAAGAGAGAATTTATGTCAGTAGCTGGGAAGGAATTCAAGGGGAGAGAGAAAAAAAAAGAAAGAAAGAAAGAAAGAAATCAATCATTTGCTAGCATTTAATAGCAACGATTTAAGTGTAACATTGTCAAAATACACATGGGATTTAAAAATAAAACAACCCCATCAAGAGAACAAGGTATAATAAAATGTTAGAGACATACAGGAAGAAATGGCAGGCGACATAGAGGTAGGAAATGCAGATTATAGAATAAAAGAATCAGTTCATTAATTAAATAAACAGTCCCATGACCGTGTGTGGTCGTAGGGTCGCTGCGCTGTTGAGCACCTGATCTGTTTCCACCACATATCCGAGTTGAAAAGCAGAGATTCATTCGTGCATGGCGTGTCTTGGTAAAATCCGTTCAACTTCGAATGTTCGCATTTGGACACGGGGACGTTGATCCCATCAAAGGCGGGGGGGGATTATGTAGCGTCATCACCGACCCCCCCCGTCTACTTTATTGTTCTAGGTGGCCATTGACACCAACAAGGTTCGTCCGCCCCGTTTGGCAGGTCTGGTTTTTAGTACTACTGGGCACCTAACCACCCTGTCCACCAAAAAAGCCTTGAGGGGCGGGGGATAAATCGGTTAATTAGATGAATAAAAAGGAAAAATTATTTTGAACAAATAATTTATTCCGAAGTACAAAAATTTAAGACAGTCTATCCATATATAGACCAAATACACTTTAACAGGGTAGATAAGTTGGGGTTTATGTACTAGTAATCCTGACTTGATATTTGATTGTCGTTAAAGTAATTACCCCGTTGCTATATGTATTTGCAGTGTACGAGGAATCCTTTTCCATTTTTTATATCAAAAATGAAATTAAAACAAAAAATTGAGGTATGCTGTAATAAGTAGCAAGAATTTGTATTTTCTTTTTGCGGTGTGAATTACAGAAAGTTGGTATGGTGTGTGTAGAAAAAAAAAGAAGAGTTGTCATTGTGTCTTGTTTAAAATTCAGTGCTTAATTGGTTTGGTTCCGACAATTTCGTTTGTGAGGATAGCGTTTGACAGTGTTTTCGATTTTCACGGAGTGCTGGCAAAGATGTGAGTTTCTGTACTACTACAGGATACCTTAATCTATATTACTCCATTGACTCTCTTGTGGTGGAAGGGCAGTTTTTATAATGAGGATAGGATGATGAAAAATCCTTTTCTATTATTACTGAGGACAAGGTTAAATTTTAGAATTTAAATTTTAGAATTATGGAATCTCATTCTAGACCATAACAACTATCAAAATTGGAAAATTGAAAACTAAACCAACCTTCTAGATTATACAAATATATATTCGCCACAAGATTTTGTTTATGTGATTAGCAATTAAATAAAACAATTATAGCAATATACTGTAAAAGAGGTTATGATTGTCAGAAATTCGATTTTACCGAAGTAACTTCCTCACAAAACCTATTTCCTCCTTAACTAGTGAAGTTAAAAGAAAAGGTGCTTTATGGCTTCTTTTGCCGCCATCACTGTACTTGCTCCTCGGGATCATTAAATAAAACATTTGAAGTTGACCCCAAGTAATTGAAAGTGCAGGAAGCGAGACTTAAGGGGGCTGGAGAACGACTATAATGCCAACTTAATTATCTTCAGTTTCTAGAACAGAATTATTTCCTGAGAAAGTTTACAATCCTACAGCCTTGTTTGTCTCTGGTTGGGTAGCAGTTAATTACGACTGCGTGTTTGAGTCGCAACGTAGCACAAAGCTCTGGTTACACTATGACAAGGCAGCAAGTAAATAAAGGGGAAAGGCGGTATATTTCTCCAACGCACTGCTTTTGCATGACAAAGTTCTTGGTTTGGATTTAAGTCAGAGTCAACTAACCAATTTAATATCACCAGAACCAGATAAAGAAATGTGAAGCGTTTTATTTAATGACATCTAAGTTTCCTTTAAAATAAACCGTTTATTCTTCGTAAGAGAGATAGTTAAAATGTTTAAGCTTGACACAAGTCTGTAGGTTATATATATATATATATATATATATATATATATATATATATATATATATATATATATATATATATATATATATATATATATATATATATATTACAACGGTTTTATAAGTCGGTATAAGCTTCCAGGTTTAAAAATGCGTAAAGAATCCGTATTCATGAAGAAAAGGCTAACAATATTTAAATCTGAGCATTGAAGATGAAGAGAAGTCAGATATTAAAGTTATAATGTGGTGTAAGGGATTTGAAAAGGTTTCTGTAATGTTTAGAGGAGCAAGTTCACAAAAGACTTGCGATTATAAAAATACAACTATTTGTGATAAAGCATAAGATTCCTTGCCTGTTATTACAACGTATCATATATATTATATATAATATAAAGATGGTGAGTTAAAATCTTATCAATAAACAAGTTTTCTGTCAAAAAGCGTCTTTGATAAAAATTTTTCACTGTCTCAACACATTTTGCCAACGGGTTAATGGTAGACTCCGACTGACGCCAATTCAGTCGGGTTTCGATCCTAGTTAGAGGCAACGGATGTCTATCCACACTGATGAGTTTGATTATATATATATATATATATATATATATATATATATATATATATATATATATATATATATATAATCACACAGTGGACACTGATTTCAATGCTAAGTGGTGATAGTGTTTCCTAATTGAACGAAAACTTCAGATCATATGTTGTATTTGGTTTGACTATTCATTAAATGTTGGTGAGTGGGGCGTTATGGGTAGTAGTTTCTTTTTTTTTTTCCAGCATTTTCCATCTACACGAGATGGGGGGGGATTAATAGTAAAAGTTCAGTTAACACACTTAGCTGCTCCACAAGTCGGAGGAGGGCACTCACCCAAAGTCAATGTAAAAAAAACTTCAGCCGAATACCGTGAGTATATCACGGACAGAGTATAAACAATACAAGAAATGAGGTAAATAATCAAGCAGAATATGACGTTAACTACAAGATCAAAAATTATAGAATTTGACCTACAGTTATTTGCTAGTCCCAGAAATAAAACTTGATAGTCCTTTTCCTTGGGATAGGAGACAGCTGAATGGAGAGATAAAATTATAAATTTCTTAGCCGCTATAAAAATATTGCGACAGATTTATTTACAAACTTTCTGAAGCAAGGTCTTAAAAGCAAGACATTAATTCTGGAAGGAGATTACGTAGCATTATTGGAATGCCCGGATGCCTTCATACCTCACCATCCCAACTTAGGCATTACCTGCTCCACGATATGGTAACCCATTTTGGAGAACCAATTATACTGATGACTGCATCAGGAACCAACCTTTCCTTAAATCGTTTACATACAATGTTCAATTCTCGCAGTGGATTGACTATGGATAGATTTTCATAACCGATTTAAAAGATCAATTTCTTGGAAAAGGTTGATGAGATCGTCGGGGGGGAGAGCTGCGTGGAATTCTTCCATTAAAGGTGTGTAAAATGCGATGTGTGTAAATGCACATCTATACATATAGCAGATAACTGATTCATAGAAAAACTGCCTGCACTTGTCAAAGTCTTCCGGGTGGAAGAAGAGGGGGGGACCAGAAAAAAAAAAAACAAAAGAAAAAAAAACAAAAAACAAAAAAAAACAAAAACAAAACAAAAACAAAACACCTAGAACAGCCCGATATACCCAAATCTCCATATTAAGCAGGCCTCGCACTAACCGATTATTACATTTATCGGTCTCTGCAATGTGCTTCGATAGAGGAAGAGAGTTTTGTGAAGCAGATTATATATATAAAAAGAAAAAAAAGCACCCCCCAAAAAAAAACCCAACTGCGAAGTTTTAAAGTTTATCAAAGAACTACCTGATAAGGTATTGAAGAGGGGCATACAATTGAATTCTAGATTTTTCTATTTTTTTTTTTTATTTAAAAAAAGTTTGATAAAAGAGAAATGTGAGGACAAGTGTTTGAGAGGAAAACTCATTTACAGAATATGAATATCACAACTCAGCCAGCAAGTTATACTTGTGCAGAACAATTTAACCTTTTAATAGGGACCCCCATGCACTGCGTCAGTGATTTTGCATAGCTATAATCAAGAGGAAAAAAACTAGGAGGTTAGGGTAGACGTGACGTAGTTCTAATTAAATAGACTGTTAAAGCAACTTACATTTCGTTCTTTCAGTCAGACTTTCACGTTAACACATTTTCTTTATCCCTTGGCATGTGTAGAAGGTAAGGCCTATGAAAGGGCAGGTAATTAATTTTTGTAAACCTACAGTATAATTATTTTGCTTGAATTATTGATACAGGCTCTCATAGAAGGGCGAATAACGTCAAAGTCAAACCTATTGGTTGACAATACAAGTGGCTAACAATACTTATTCCTGTATCATAGAATCAACAGAGACTTGTACGAAATGAAAGAAAAAGATATTGTATATGAATATTTCAGATATTGGTATATGAATATTTCGACTGTTCTAGTTGACAGAACGTAAGATTAAAGAGTCCCGAAATTGTTTTATTAGAGTTGTTTTAATATTCCTGTACCTGATTAAGCTATAAGCGAGCTTAAGTCAATAGAAGCGATTTCTTGAGACCTATTTCTACAACAATTTTGCTTTAGGATAAAGTGTTAAAGAAAAAACTTATCGGCGTAAGTTTCGACCAATTGAGTCAACCAACAAGAACTGAAGGGTTTCACGACTTTTCAGCTAGTCGAGTTTAAAGTTTGAGACTACAGTAAAACGTTACGTGTCGCGAAAAGGTGGTAGTAGCGGGTTTCAGAACAGATCTCTCAACAGAATGTTTAACGTAAACGAAGTATAAGGGCGGATGGGGGGAGTTGAGTTATGGAACTGCGTTGCGAGGTTTTGATTTTGCTCGCAATAGCTTTAGTTTTAAGCTCGGCGAGGACAGGAGAAGAAAAAAAAAAAAAAAAAAAAAAACCAGAGTGTTGCAGGATTAGGAATTTAATCCACTTTTATTTAACGATTTATAAATGGAGAAAACTACATGTCCATATGCAAGGAGATTTATATACATATATAATGTGGGGGTACAAATAAATACATCAAGGTTTAGTGAGAGGAGGGAGGGGAAATAGAGTTAAGCAGAATCAGATTTGTCGTAAATCTGAGAACGTTACACTTGAGAGAGCATAGACCATTTGTGTTTGGAGTTGGCATTTTCATTTATACAGAAAATGAAATGAAAAATTTAATTATACAATTTGCATAGAAGTTACATTAGCGCCATTATGAAGATGAAGAACGGTTAAGATGCTATTTTATCGTAGTTCGATATTAGAATATCGAATCATTTAACTGGTTACTAAGGCTTTCGGCTTTTCAAAAGCGAAATTTAAAAGTCAACATTAAATTGGTTTCAAAATTATGGAATTTTCAGAATAGAGAAACCTATAGATCTTGAATAAGTAGTGATCATTCTTGTATTCTCATAAGAAATACTAGTTACATTTTAGCTTTAATTCAAATTAAAGAGCCCTGCATTAACGTTCGAGGATTGACGAGAATTCGAATGAAGTCAAGACCATTAGACAAAGTTAAGCGAAGTATATTACAGATTTATACTTGTCAGATTAGTTTTTGAAATCTGATAGCGAATTTAACATTAAACATTTAGCTATGTACATTTAAAAAATATGAAATCGAATTAATTTAGAGTAATATCTGTAGTAAGGCGATGATCGCTCTAAAAGAAATAAAAAGTGCTAGTATTTACAGGGTTTTTTTTGCCATTAAGAAAAAACGAAACGGCAGCGAACAGATTAAACAATGTCCAGGATTACGTTAATCTACTCACATTTCAGCGCGTCCATTGATAATTTAGGGATTTGGGCAACTTGCAGAAAGATATCATGGGAATATTTCTTATGGATTTCATTGTTAGAGTTTATAGGAGGATTTAAAAGCATCTGGTTTAATCTGACAGCCAAGTCGATCAAGTCGGATTCCTGGTATCCGCTATGATGAACCAGTATAGGATCCCAGCTTTCGTTGGTCATTCTCAGAGCGATGAAGAGACTGGCCGCTGCCTTTAGAGATTCTTTTTCATAGCAGAACTGGTAATCTAGCAGGGAAGATTCAAGAATGTAGCGTGCCAGTGTTAGAGTCCTTACGTCTTGTCCGGACACGTTACTGTAGCGACGGAGGAAACGGTACGAAAGTGGAATTCCAAGGCAGAAGTCTAGGGTTTGCAGTAGGTTCCGTTCCATCTCGAAGAGGCTCTCCATATCGTAGGCATTGTCACACACGAAGAGGAAGTCATCGCACTGCGGCAAGATGTGTTCCTCGTATTTGCAGGCTAGAAACAAAGCCGCCGTGCCAACAAGTTGCAAGACGGAGCGACGAATGTTAGTTTTTGACAGATACATATCAACCAGTTTTACGGCAAGGTAGAGAGTTTCGTGATAAAGTTCGAAGTTACTTTGGACTTCAACCATCCATTCAACCAGTATCGAACGCATTTCTGCAGTTATGTCAGTCTGTTTTTCTGACATGTACTCGGGCACAGCAAACGTGCTTTCTTGACTTCGATAATAATCGAAGATGTCTTTCGCATATTCAGTTTCCCAGATCGCCACACCAGTATGTTCCTTATCGAAAGCGTCAAAGTCGGTTTCTTCGGGCAAAGAAGAATGTGGACTTTCACCATTATCGGTAGCGATAGTCACTGGTTCCAATGCTAGAGAGAGTTGCACAATTGAAGGTTCTTCCTCAATCGGCTCGATTGGTTTCTGCGAGGAAGCCTTCTGTGTGAGAGTACACTTAGTTTCGGTCTTACTGGTTACTGAACATCCGGAGGGGACGGGTTTATTCTTGCAATGAGAATAAACAACTACCTTGGAATTATTCGTTAAATCGCCAAAAACTGCGCGCCGTTTCAGCTGCGGTTTTACGTTTAATTCAGAATTGGAACGTGCTCTTTTCACCCCCATCTGGTGAAGTTTGTTTACGGCAGGCTTCAATTGCGTGCGTTTGCCATTCGCAACGGGCAGGTAATTTTGGCGCTGGACGTTTGCAGATCTTCGAGTAACTCGGCGTGTATTCATAGCTGTTCGAGAACGTCTTTACTGTTTCAAGAATTCTGACCTTTGTAGGATAACTGTTCTTCTTTTATTTAAATACTTGGGTAGGCATTTTTTTTACGTCTGGCGCATGTCATTCTCAGAGACAATATGAAATATTTGCATATTTGTTTGCGCTTTCATTGGTGAATGGAAATGATCACGTGGGAAAAATTGAGTCACCTCTCCACCCCCGCCGAAGAAAAAGAAAAATTATTATTATTATTAATAATAATAATAATAATAATAATAATATGATGATGATGATGATGATGATGTATTCGAGCCGACACTTAGAAGCTCGTAACTTTATGTTTTTAGCCGGTTTTCAAGCTGTTATCTAAAAGTTCGGTGAATATAACAATAAATGTTTTTTTTTTCTATTTTCTATTTTTTTAGATCACTGAATCTCTTTCCCTGCGTTCGGTTCGTGGGCGTTGTTTAGATTCCCTGAAATTTACCCCCTAAAAATCGTTTTATTCTCAACAGAATTACTTGCAATGTATATCTATAGTAAAAACCAAAAGTAATACACTTACATTATATACAGGATGCGCCAGATATTTGGCAACATATTTTTGTGGGCCATAAATGAAAGACATCCTAACAATAATAATGCACTCAGTACAATTGAAAAAGACATGTTTGATTGATTCATTTTTTTTTTTACGGCCTATCAACCATTTACAGGTTATTTAAAGTCAGAGAGTATTTTTACATTGCAAGATTTGGGGGTGGGGAGAGATAATAATGATTTAGTGATACAAGCCATACTAATTAACCCATAGATTGGGAGAGAAAAAGGAGATTCATATCTTTTTTCAAGGGTATAATTGGCGAATATAATTGAAAGTGAATATAATTCGAACTCAGCTCTCCGATTAACAATCCCGAGCCATTATCTATTACACCACCCGCACACCCAAGCTTACAGCACCCGGTATTTCCAAGCGGTTACCAATCTAGATACTAACCAGGCATGACGTTGCTTAACTTCATTGATCGTACACATTGCATTAATTTTAATACAATTGTATTAGTTTTTAGAATGTTGCAAATATAAAATTCTTCTTGTAAATAAGCAATCTAATAAACAGTGATTAATATTTTTGTTATAAATTCTCAAGAACAAAATAAATGTATAAATTCGCTTTCATCATATATTTAGGTTTTATTACAATTCTAATAATCGTTTTTTAAAACAATAAACATTGCCAAGGAGCGAAGGTAGTTAAAATAATAGCGGTGTCAAGGTAAAAACCGTCTGTTGTTCATTTTTTTGCAGACATGAAGGTCCAGGTTTGTCAAAAAGCTTTTCTGTAATGTTTAAAAAAAAAAAAGAAGCAATATTTGTTATAATTTAGATTAATTAACCAGTTAATCTTTAAATAAATTTTCAGAAAAATGCATTTTATTTTTTGGAAGATTTTTTTAAAATAATGATATCTGTGTTGTGTTATCAGATTTATCAATGTGGCCGACTTTAGCGATTTAAAATATAATTCTAATTAATCTAAATTTGGTTTGAAATACAGCAAAATACTTTGCTCATTGGAAATATTCAATTTAATCTATTAGATCTTTAAATTTGTTTGATTGGCATAACAAGAAAAATAGTATTATCCTTTAAAGTTTACCGCTTAAAACATTGTATTTTACGTCCAGTAAATAATATTAACAAAATTGATTTCTCTCCGTCATCGACAAAGGACATTTGAAATATAATATATATATATATATATATATATATATATATATATATATATATATATATGTATTCAGACATTCAGACTACATTCCTTAGTTCCACCAGTTTTAAACTTCATGGGTAGGACCTGACATGCTGTGCACATTTTATCAAACCACCCCCATCCCCCCCCGTATTCCATTGGTGAGAAGTAAATTCCACTCGAGCAGCTTCTTCCCGTGAACCACTGCCCTGTGGGACCGACTCCCAAGAAGATATTCCCCCGATCGCTACACTCTTAGCCTGTTCAAGTGTAGGGTTAACCGTTATCTTCCCCACGTATCATCATAAACTGTGCCTATTACTCTGTAACTCTCTACCTCGAGTGGCTCCCAGGCCTTGTACAGGATGAACCTCACTGTATAAAAAGACAAACACACACACACTCTCTCTCTCTCTCGTGCACACACACACACACTCTCTCTCTCGTGCACACACACACACACACACACACACACACACACACACACACACACACACACACACATTCTCTACTCCAAGCATATATGCTCTCCTCACGCACATATTGCTCTCTTCCACTCACAGACACACCCACACGCTTTCTTGCTCTCCCTCTAGCTCTTTCGCTCGGATGCGGATACAATTGCTTTTTCTTTCTTTCTTTCTTTCTTTCTTTCTTTCTTTCTCTCTCTCTCTCACACACACACACACACACACACACACACACACAGATATTCTCGCCACTAAGCATACATTATCTCCCTAACTCGGTCCTCTCAAACTTTTTCACATAATCTCTTTCTCTCTCTCTCCCTCTATCTCTCTGTCACACACACACACACACACACACACACACACACACACACTTTTCTGCATAATCCCTCTCTCTCACACACTTTTTTCACATAAACCCTTTCTCTCACACACATTTCCGCACATATTCCCTCCCCCCACTCTCTCTCTCTCACACACACAGAGTCACACTCCTTGTGAACACCCATATACTATCCCTTTTTCTAACACACATTCTATTTTTCAGATACATTCTTTTGACATATAGAGTGTCTCAAAAAAATATGTACACTTTTATTTTTTTTATATCCTCCTTGTTCAGAGGGCCTCACCTCTTTAGACCTTTTCTTGCTGAGGATAATTAAAATATAAAGTCTACGCTACAAAAAGCTAGCAACAATTGCTGAAACGAAATCTTCCATAGAGCAAAAATGCAATCAATACCTATCGGAATGTTAATCGCTGCTTGTGATTCCAGCACAAAGTCAGAATTGTGGTGTACTAAAGTACGGACCGAATTCACAAACTTCTTAAACATTTTATATCACGGTAACGACTCGAGATGTTAGTAAGAATACCCGAGGATACCATGGATCGAACATGTGAGCAACGACGAAGAAACTTATACTTAACACCAAGAAAAGACAAATGAAATTTCTGGTCCACATAATGAGGAAGGAGGGCTTGGAAAATCTGATACTCACAGGACATATTGAAGGAAAGAGGAAAACAGCGCATACCATACTTGATGAGTTTAAGTAAATGAATGGCGGAACAGAGTTTGGGAGAAATAACGAAAAATCAACATTTTTTAAGAGCTAGAAAGGTCAGGAAATTGTGGAGGGCCATGATTGCCTATGTCCTGAGGGGACACGGCACATAAAGAAGAAGACGCTTAGTAGGTTCAGTAAGGTTCGAACTCTACTGTGCCCTGTGAAATCTGTTAACTAACCACTGATCAATTTTGAAGCCCCCGAGAATTTTATAACGACGCCATTACACATAGAAAATGTCGGAGAACTGACCGACTGAAACATTGTATAAAAAAAAACAAAACAAAAAAAAAAACGCCATAACAATAATATCGTTGAGAATATTCATATGAATAGTTCGCGTAATGACGACTACTTAACCTCGGAAATACAGGCAATTTCTTCAATTTTAAGAACATATACACCCACATACGCGTACACGTACAGAAGCACACATGCACATACATACCTATTCGCCTCTCCGACTTCTCATGAGTTTGAGCGAGTCAATAAGACGATTAAATTAAGAGGTTGTCATTGAAGACAATGTATTGTGAACATAAATTATATTTGGAATATAAATGAACATACTCTTCTACTCCATCGTAATCGCCTCCGATACCCACGTAGTCGGGTCCAACCAGGTCTTTGATGTAGTCAATATGATCTGAAAGATAAATAGTTAAATAAATAAATCGGAATAAATTATTAAATTTATTTATGTCTGACAAACTTATTGATAGCAAACTCATCTTAGACCATTACTAATGCAATGTGTGCTCAATACGTTATGAGAAAAAAGGGCGTGGCGTAGACAGTTTTTAAGCACCTAATCAGACCAAAGGAAATGTTGCGTCTCGGAAACAAATTATATACGTGAGGATACATTCCGTGAAGAAAATAATGGAGGTCTTCTATCTATCTATCTATCTATCTATCTATCTATGCCCATTCTTTTATCTATCTATCTATCTATCTATCTATCTATGCCCATCTTTTATCTATCTATCTATCTATCTATCTATCTATCTATGCCCATTCTTTTATCTATCTATCTATCTATCTATCTATCTATCTATGCCCATTCTTTTATCTATCTATCTATCTATCTATCTATCTATCTATCTATCTATCTATCTATGCCCATTCTTTTATCTATCTATCTATCTATCTATGTCCATTTTATTCTTATCTACATATTTATCTATCTCCAGTTTGAAATACCTCCCACATATACCCCCAAAGAAATACCACTTACTGTTTTACCATTATGTGACAGGTATTTCTGTCGCACCCTCGTTCTTCACTATATCTCTCTCTCCCAATATATATATATATATATATATATATATATATATATATATATATATATATAAAAAAAAGAGAGAGAGAGTTTTAAAAAAATATTACAAATTGAGCACTGTTATATAGCCAAAAAAAAAAAATATATATATATATATATATATATATATATATATATATATATATATATATATATATATTACACGTCAGCTTTCCGATCAAGAAATCCAAGTCCGAATCTTACCATAGTCGATTTATCGGGGAGCTGACTTTTTGATAATATCGTCTTAAGGGAGACGATCCCTGAGTGCAGTACCTTTGGGTAGTGTCTAAAAGGCACCCGCACGGGTTGACACCCAGCTTGTGAGTGAAATTGAATAGACGAAACTGTTCTGAAGCTGCTGATGGTTGTGCAGGCATGAAGCCACAAGTCGTTGTGGCCGAGGGTTTGAGTGTACTGGCCTTGCGGTCTCTCCCAGGATATTTGGATTCCGCTGACCATAGTTGAAGTATAAATCACAGGTTCAATTTTTGGATGTAAGATAACACGAATGTGCCTGGAAAACATTATCTCGCCACACTAGCTAACAGGGATTATTTAACCACTCAAGAAGCAGACACGGACACGGACGGCCTGCCATACATCGCGAAAACGCATTTGCGGTGGTGGCTATGAAATCCGTATTGCAGACGCCCGCTGAGGGTGTATTTGTGTTTGTTCAAAACCCACAAAGCCAAACCGCGGTTTATATGTGCAACTACGCTGAGTGGAGCTTAATTACACTTTCCGAGGTACAGCTTATGATCTCGTGTAATCAACAGTTTGAACAAGGACAGTGCGTCAAACCTTCACCCACAGTGACTTGTAACCTCGTGCGAGGGTAGTTTTGTCTATCTAATTTCACTCAAAAGGCTTGGGGCGTCTTCTCAGATCGATATTATCAAGATGTCACCTCACTGAAAAATCGACCGAGGTGATATTGCAACCCGTGTCTCATGGTTGAAATGTGAACGTTCTAATGCACACATCGGAGGGGATGGGAGGCCTCGACCTTAAGTAATGGTTAACAAACTAGCCTAGAAAACTGTTATTGTTGTTGTGATTTTGACACTTACTGGATGCCGTACTTGTGAACTTGTGCCAGATTAAATTAAACTTGGCAAATTTGGTGGGTGCTTTGTCGCGGTTTAGTTGTTAGCAATTTCACTGAACAAACCTTATTACTGCCTCGTGAGTTTGATCCTTACTGAGTGCCTCATATTTAATCCTGGGTTTGACGATAAACTACACCCGGCAGCAAAGACTCTGATCGGGAGATTGGATGTTTTGATGAGCGTGGAACCACCTCTTAATTGCTGTTGTTCCCAGGTCCACCCTGATCCGGAGGTAACACCTATAAGGGTCCCAGTTATGGGCAAATAGTTAATCCCCAAAGATAAACAAAACACCATGAAAAATAAGAATATATTTTTATAGTAAAAATACCAGTAATACATTTTTATATTAAAAAATTACCATCAATACCAATTTATGGTAAAATTACCAACAATACGCACATACACACAAATCCGTTTAAAACACGATCAACATGATAGACATTCATATCTTCCAATTCTTAAAGAAATCTAACTATATTTTCAAAATATAACTTCAACAAAACTACAACATAAAAAACATATGACCGCCTCTATAATTATGTCCACACAAATCTGTATATGCACTAAAGCTGAGTATCATCTACCATGTATTCAATTGTGAAAGCAGAATAACATCATATTTTTATTATTTCCAAGCTCCCAAGAAGATTAAATTTCAGCATTAAATGACCCATAAGGAGTTGATATGCCATTAAACAGACAGATCAATCAATTTCACAGGCTCTATGATAAGGTTCAATTTCATGAAAAAGTCTTATGCAAGATCTCATGCCATAAAGATATACATATACTCTTCTTTTTCTTCAGTTAGAGCACTGTGACCTTTCAAGTGGTTAGAATAGCAATTTCGGAGAATTACTGCATACGTTGAACGTGACACTTCGGTGGTTTCATCAATGTTGACA